GACACCAAAGTGGGACTTGGAACAGGGAATGGGAAGTGACGTGAATGACTGTGGCTTCTGGGGAGTCCATAGAGAATACCGAGGAGAGGATGGGAGCTATGACACACAGGAAGACACGAGGTCAACAGTGGCTTGCCTTGCAGTGAAGCGTTTCTGTAACAAAACTGAGTCACTGAACGCTGCTCCCCAGAAGTGGCCCTCACATCTCAGCTCTTTGTTAATTCTTGGTCCCCATCCTTCTCTTGTTTTGTCTTTATGGCACGTGTCCTTTCTGAAATTGCCTTCTGTTGTAATGGGGAGCCTTGATGGCTCACACCCACTTGACAGGTTAATTGACAGCGTACAGGGTGCAGAAATGGAGTTTCCAACCCCTGCCTTCCTACCTCCTCTCCCCATTCAAATTAATTGAAGGCGCGAAAAATACACCCTTCCCCTCCTGCCTCAACACTATTCACAACTGACAGCGCAGAAATTACTCCGGAGGTTCTGCGCACCTGGCTCCTCCTGCCTCCTGTGGTGCTGTTAGGTTAGTTAACTATAGGAAAACTTTGGTAACTCCCCGCCTGCCTGAAACTTTATTTGTACCGCATGGCTCTCAGTCTGCCTGGAGGATGAGAGCTTAAAAACCCCTGACTTTGGCAGCTCGGCGCAGTGGCTGCTGGAGTGTGGTGGGAGTTGCTGTCACCAAGCTTGAATAACAGACTCCTCTTAACATCCTGCACTTGGGTCCAGTGTGATGTCTCTCGCACTCCACAACACTGTGTTTGTTGGAATGCCTCTGCTGACTCAAGTATGAACTTTCCAACAGCAGCACCTTCTCCTTGTAACCCTGGCACCCAAAACAGTGCCGCTCACACAGCAGGGCTCACATAGCAGTATTTGGGTGAGCAGCTGACCAGAACTTCAACTGCTGCTTTTCCTCCTATAGTGCCTGCTTGAGTCTCAACATCCTAGGATCCAGTGCCTAGAGACCCAAATTCAAACCTGTGTGTCTAGGTAGCAGCCAACCCCTAAGTTATGGGGATTAGGCCTTGGGATGCAAACATCCCTCCAAAGCCAGATGGGGGGAAGAGAGAAATGTCTCATGGGAAAACTACGCCCAGGAATCCCAGATGACAAATACTTGAGGAAGGGAAGGAGTATCTGTTTGCTGCCACAGACAAGGCACAAATGGGAAGTTTACAACTCTGCTGTCAACTAACAGCTTTCAGTCTCATCCCTGTGTTTCTCGGAGCAAGACTGCTGGAGCCAAGTGTAGGCTGGTCCTCTGCTCTTACAGATCAACAATGCTCTCCATGAAAACAGGCTAGAAGCCTGGAGCTAATTAGACCCGCTGTGTCCAGCAATCAGCAAGACAAGGGAAGCGGTCAAAACACGATGCCAAGCAACCTGCCCAGTTCTCCCAAGGAGCAGAAGAGAAGCCCTTTTAATCAGTTCTGAGAGATGCTCTGATTGTTCGCTCCTTGGGCTGCTGTGCCCAGGCTGTGGCTTCTCTGTCACCCATATGTACCCTTGCTGCTTATCCTGCTCTGGTACAAGCACACTCATCCATACTCTCCGGAAACAGGTGCAGTCAGCTTGTATTGTTCGTAATGAGAATATAGAAGATGTCTCTGGGTGGACTCGACAAAAGTTCATCAATTCTTCCAACCAGAGTATCAGCACAGGAGGAACAATTATTAGTAAAAGTTTCATTATTTGTGTCCAGTGCCATAGCCTAGTGGCTGAAGTCCTTGCCTTGCATGCACTGGGGGGTGGGGGGGTGGGGCCTCTGTGGGCACTGGTTCATATCCCAGCAACCCTGCTTCCCATCCAGCACCCTGCTTGTGGCCTGGGGAAGCAGTCAAGAATGGCCCAAAGCCTTGGGACCCTGCATCCATATGGGAGACCTGAAAGAAGATCTGAGCTCCTGGCTTCGGATTGGCTCAGCTGCAAATGTTGGGGCTGCTTGGGGAGTTATCATCGGACAGAAGATCTTCCTCTCTCTCTGTTTCTCCTCCTCTCTGTATATCTGACTTTGTAATAAAAAGAAATCTTTATAAAAAGTTTCATTATTTACTTGTGTATTTGAAAGGTAGAGCAACAGATAGCAAGAGAGCGAGAGAGAATGGAAGGATCTTCTGTTAGCTGCTCCCCAAATGTCCTCAACAGTGTGGGCTGGGCCAGACCAAAACCAGGGACCAGAAACCTCATCTGAGTCTCCCACATGGGTGGTAAGGACCCAACAGTATTGGAGCCCTCACTGCCTCCCAGGGTGTACATTAGCAGGAAGCTGGATTGGACTTGATTAAAAACATTCCAAGGAAGGATGTTTTAGTTTAGCTACTGGGTTAGTATAACACCCTCTATATATTTTTCAGTGCTTGCAATCACTTTAGGAAGTTCTCAATTTGCTCGTGTGTGTGTGTGTGTCCTCAGTAGGAGTTGATGCTGCTAGGACAATGCAGTGATACCCAGGACAGAATGCTCTCCTGTGAAGACAGGAACAAAACCATTTTTGTTTATGCCTAGTACCATTCCTACCACACACTGGGCTTTCAATAAATGAATGTTGAATAAATGAACAAATGAAAGGAAGAGTGGACAGATGCTGGCCCAGGGGCTATTTTGCAAACAGCTTCCAGAGACCCTAAAGCAGCTTTCTTTTTTCTCTTGTCTCCTCCACAGGTTCTCATTGTGAAGCATTGTTGGTTTTGCCTTGCTGTTTCCTCGTGATTATGTTTTTAATTCAGCTCTCCTCTCTGCTGCTGTAGATAGGTACTCATGAGAGCTTGATAAAGCATTCTAGTCACCATTGGCAGCAGAACGTATACATACACATGCTTCTCCTCGCTGTCCGCACTTCTGTGACTTTTGGTTCTAACCAAAGATGGCTTTAAAAAAAAGATTTATTTATTTATTTATTTATTTATTTATTGGAAAGGCAGGTATACAGAGAGAAGAAGATACAGAGAGAAAGATCTCCCTTCTGCGATTTAACTCCCTGAGTGGCCCACAACAGCTGAAGCTGAGCTGATCTGATCCGATCTGAAGCCAAAAGCCAGGAGCTTCTTCCAGGTCTCCCACGCAGGCGAGGGTTTCAAGGCTTTGGGCCATCTTCCGCTGCTTTCCCAGCCATAAGAAGGGAGATGGAGCAGCCTGAACAAACACCGGCATCCATATGGGATACCAGGCGATGCAAGGCAGGGATTTAGCCACCAGGTTATCCTATTGGGCCTCTCATTTTTTTTGTTGTTTTGTTTGTTTGCTTGTTTGTTTTGACAAGCTACTAGCTAGGCTGTCAAGCTATACATACTACTATGTGAGAGCCACAATGGGCTTGTAATATTTTTCTGGTTTAAAATAATGTCAGTAATGGAGGTTTCTAGAAGTTTTGTTAATAAAAACTTCCTTTCTCCATTAGAAATAGAGGGCAAAGTTGTCATTTTGTTGAAGGTCAATTTAAGTTTTACAACTAAGATCATTTGAATTATTTTCATTTGTGAATGCATTAACCTAATCTTACAAAGGCATATACCACCTGCTCCATTAGCCTGTTCATGGAATTCCATAAACCGATGTTTGCTCAAGAAACCTGCTAATATGTTTACCACCACAAGAAATCCTTCCCATACCTTGCTGCTTAAAGAGGGGTAGGCATGGAAAAGGTGCCAAGGACTTCTTGCGTCTGTTTTGTGCCAGCTCTCTCTCTCAGCCTCTGTTTTGATCAGTGAGATGTGTGATAAGATTAATAACTGCAATAAATAATTACTGCCTACAGTGCTGCTCAGCAGCATTATGGAGATGACCTCCCTTTCATAAAACACTGTCAACTGACTACATGGCGAACATCTGCGCATTCCTCTAGAATGTACTGAAGTTTAATGTACTCTGTGGGTTTTTTAATTGGATGGGCTAAGGAAACAGAACAGAATGTTACAGCTGCAAGAGATGACAGGAGCAGTTCAAGAAGCTCTTTGAGAAATAAGAGAATGAAAGCTCAGAGAAGCAGAATAATTTTCTGATCCTACACAAACTGCCTCTTGGATGTGAGGCCAATAATCCCTCGTCTTTCCACACCTTCCCAGCCAGTATTGACTTTTCCAGCCAATTGTTCAGTAGTTCCTAGTTACACACCTACGATTATTTGCCAGGGAACTTTGGGATTAGGTTATATTGTTGAAGCAAATGCTAATTGCAGTCATTAGTTTGGTCAATTCCACCTATTCATTCCTCCCAATATCACAATTGTTTGCCAATATGCTTCAATCCTGGAAACCAGTTGTACTCTTAGGGAAAAAAACTATTGTCGCAGCACCATGATTTATTTTGAGATGAGCTGTATGATTAGGTTGGATGCATCCAGGACACAAGGTTCAAAACCCAGGAGAGCTTTGAACCCATAGACTGCAGAGCTGATACCTGCACTTCCTCCCAGAACAGGAAGTAGTACTGACAGAGACTCCTCTGGGTTCCTAAATGCTTCCAAAGAGAGACACACATTGGCTTGGGAAAACAGTGGTGACCTCAGAGAAGCAACTGGGAAGGAAGAATGGATCTAGATGGAATCTGACAACAAGCAGGGCATCACCCAATCAGGCACAACAAATCGCTGGGGCAATTCAGTGCTTGACCATGGTCACAGAAGGCCTTCTCCCGGGGTTGGCCTGAGGTTCTCAGGGACAGCAGATGCTCACAATGCTGGAAAAACCGTTGTGTGCTTGTGAGCCAAGCCCTTCCAGGTGTAGGCCCCGGTCCAGCTGTCCAGGGACTGTTGCCCTCACACGGGTTCTGGGTAGTAACACTCTGGCTAGAGCACTAACATCACTGCCACTGCAGGGGGTTTTCAGAACATGTGCTGATGCTTCAGCTGTCCTCAGGCCAAAGTCTGGTTTGCAAGACATCCTGGAAGGGTTTCTGTGGCTTTGTAGCTGGGGCTTCTTTTGTCTTTGGCAAGGCAACTGTCCTTTCCACAGCCATTGTGGTTACCCAGCAACAGGGGACATTTGGGATTCTAAAACGTTCAGGAATGGGGACTCTTGATGTTCATCCCATGTATAAAGGGTCCACATTGAGATGGGAGAATGCTTGAGCAAGAAATCTGTGCTTCCAGTGTCTGTAACCCCAGAGAGTGGGAGGTGAGTTCCCAGCTCCTCATATTGCCAAACTCATGGTAATTTCTGAATCAAGTAGGTTTTACTCAGTACTTGAAAGGGAGAGAGAGAGAGAGAGAGAGACAGACAGACAGAAGAAATCTTTCTTTGAAGTATGGGGAAGATGGGTTTTTCTTTCCCTGTGGAAGAATGATCTTTGTCCTTTCAATGCCACCGTCCACTCTGATTACAGGAGCAAGGCTGGCATACAGTAGGTGTTGAATATTTGTTGAATGACTATGTTTTCCCTTACTTTCTCTTCTCAAAATGACACTCACTCACTCACTCACTGTAACCACGGGACTAGTTGGGTAGGAGTAGGGGACCGGGTCAGTTCTCTTTGGACTTCATAGGTATGAAATGTCCCTTTGGCTACTCTCCTGCCAGGATATATGCTCACGAAAAACCAGCTCGTTCCTCTTCCCAAAATTTCCCAAAGAAAAACCAGAGACAACTCTGGATGCCAACATGGAAGTAGAGTTTGTGTCTATCTTTGAACTACAGTAACAACTGAGAAATTTGCGTGCTGGCATAACACTCATTTCCATCTTTGAGTGTGAAGTCATCTTACATTTAGGATTTCCTTTTATGCTTTGAATGAGTGGAAACTGGGCCCTTCCATGGAGGACGATGTCATGTGTGGACCATTACATGTGACCACACTTCTGCTTGGCCAAGTTCTGTGTCTTTCATGACATTGGTGTGTTTTTCTTCTATGGCTGCATGAGTCTTGGTTTACTTTGCTTTGAACTTCTGGCTAGTGGTCCGTGGGGATTCAGGAATGTCCCAAGATTTTATGGAGAATGTTGTTTTTATGTGCAGAGGAGTCCGTGACCTTTGTGAGGGGAGAGGATTTATTTTTGTCAATGAAGTCCAAAAAAATTTGGCAAACACTCATTTCCTTTTAAGCACCTTAAAGGGTAACGGGTCAATGAGCCGACTGTGGGAGAGGTGGACACAGTACTGCCAAATGGAGGGTAATGCCTACAAGTCAGAGCTGTGAGGGGGACAGGCCAGTGCCCTCCTCTTAGGGAAGCCAGCGGGGACACAAGGTCATTGCCTTTTGGCCTCTGACATCAGGAGTTGAGTGCTCTGGGAAGGAAGCAGCAGGGCTTGCTGCAGGAGGTGAGACTGACCATGCTGTTCTTTTGGATCTCTTGTTGAAACTTATGCATACAGTGGTAAAAATGGATGTAAGATAGACTTTATAATACTGTGAAAAGTCAGGTTCTAGAATGATGCTTACCATCTAAATGCTCAGAAGAATGCTTTTTTGGGAGGATGGATGATATTCAATTATTTTGAACACTCTGATATTTTCCTTGTTGGTGCTATACAGGAATTAGTATTAATAACACATTATGGACATTGAGGAACAGTATATTTGGAATATTGTAGTTTCAGAAACCAGTCTTCTTTTTTTGAGAACTGTTGCATATGGAATGGCCTTTGTTTAAATGAAGTTTAAAAACAAAGCTACATTTCTAAACCACTTTTACTAAGATCAGTTGTTCGTGTGGACTAATAGGTGACAAATGATTATTCCAATTCAATATTCAAAGGCATGGAGTACAAAGCTGAAAAAGCAAACAGAAAGTTCTATCATTTAAAGAAAGGAAGCTACTGGATCTTGTAAAGCTCTGGGAGGTGGGGGAAGGCCACTGTGAGAGCTGCGTGTCAATCATTACTCCCGGCCAGTGGACATTTTTAACAGACATTCCAATTTCTCAATTTTTCTGTGACCCCTTAGGTAAAAAAAAAAAAAAAAAAAAAAAAAAAAACCAGTAATTAAAAAAAAACCTTCATAGATACCTTTGTGAATTCTGATTTGCATTACCTCCAGGTTAACGGGCTCTGCAAAGCTTTCTTTCTCTCTTCAGTGACTGTACAACTCGACTGCCACTGTGTATCCTGGTTACCATGGTTACTCTCGGGCCATGACTCATGACCTTTAACTATTCTTGTCAGACAGCCAGGGCGCCCTCGTTTTTGAATCTGTAGTCTTGTTTCAGCCTTTATTAAAAGAGAGTGGCTTCAAATAGTTCTTTGTGTGGAGGGACTGTGGCCCACCTGAATATGAATATTGTACTCTGGTTTGGTTTGTTTTCATTGGCCTTGTTTGGCGACTAATTATTAATTCCTTGGTCTGTGTGTTTTTGGGTGAATAAAATATAAACAAGGTAGGGTCCTTGTCCTTTCTGAGAGTGTCCCTGAGAAATGCAAAACCCAAGGGGACAAATCAACATATGTGCTGTGAGACCGTGTCAGACTTGAATGTCTGAGAACCACAGGAGTCACAATAAATACTTCTGACTGGTGGCATCCCGGCGGCCTCAGGGAGAGGTGGCACTCGAGTGGTTGGCCTAGGAGATGGTTCAATTCCCTTGGTCATTCGGAATCATGCTTTGGTGACAGTAGCCATTTGAGCCCCACTGGCAGAAGGCACAGCCAGTCAGAAGGCCAGAAGAGCCGGTTTATTAAGATCCTTCAAAGCAGTTTGTAGGTTGCTCCAGCAACTCTGATGGCCAGGAGGTAGTTTTCCATTTCCCGATAGAGCATCTGTCAAGAGAGCAACACCAAAATGCTGAATTTTGCTGATTTGGCTTTGATGTGAGGAGAGCAGTCATGTCTCACATCCCAGTGTCTCCTGCCACTCACTGGAAGTGTAATTTCTTTTAGGAGTCACTGATTACCTTATGAATCTCTTTTAAAGCCACTAAATCTTTTGAATAGAAACTAAAAGTGAGAAGCAGGCACATAAATATGGAAACTAATTTATTTGTTGGGGAGACAGCAAGATACATGATAGTAATTGGATTAATAAGTAAGACTTGTTGAATGGCAACAAGAGAATAAAATCTGTTAGACCCATAAGGTTTGGGAATGATTTAGTTGTTTATTCATTCAACAAATCTTTACTGATAAGACTCTCAGAAAAGACATAGAGTGACCGAAACAGTAACAAGTCCCTGTCTTCAAGGAGTTTATATTTGCAGCTGGAAAGATTCATAATGTAAGATAATAAACAAATTGCATGATATGTTAGAAAAGGGTAAATTCTGCAGAGAAAAGTAGAGTTTAGAGATGAGGTAAGGATTGAAATTTTAGATTCATGTGATATGTCTCACTGAGAAGGTGACCTTCAGTAGAGCAGAAGAAAGTAAAAATAACTGAACAGAGGTGGACCAAGTATTGCTGGAATTTTGGGATGTCCTGTAAAGGTATTTCATATAGGGAGTGATGGCCCCTGCCGCAACCATTCTGTCAGATGAGTGGTGACAGCTAATGGCAAAGTAGAGATTGCTGGTGACCTCACTAAGTGCAGTGAGTGCAGAATGGAACTGGTGAGAATGTGGACTATCAACAACAATAAGAAGAAAGTGATTGGGGGGAGTGAAAATAGAGCATGACAATAACCTTACAGCAAAATGGGTCAGTGTAATAGAGCAGAAGCTAAAGGAGTAAGGGGCTCAGGATGCATTAGGTAACAACAAGCTCACAAGCCAATGGAAATGATCCAGAAGAAGTGGGAAGAGATGGAGGGAGAGGGCCAGGGCTGGAAGCAGGAGAGAACAGAATTCCCCCACCTGCTGTTTCAGAGGAGGATATGCTTCCTCCCTTTTCTTATTTTTGTTCAAGTAAGAGATTTTGCAGGTTTTCAGAACAGATTGTACTGTTCAGACTGCTTATTCTCAAGAGAACATTTAAGGCTATTTTATCTTCTGCAAGTAAAGTTTACATTCCATTATTTTTATTTCCTTTTGAAATGTCCAGAAACTGACATTTGGAGGAAATACTTTTTCAAAATTATCATAAATGTTACAGTATAAAGATCTGGAGTGGTGGTTGGGGGGTGTGTATGCATGTGCATACACATGTTTGTACCCCCATGCCTAAAAAAATAATTGAAACACTAAACTCTTTTGTTTTCAGTATCAAGTCTGAAAGTTCAGAGTCAGACACTCAACTGGACCACGAAGTATTGGTAAGAAATGAAACTTGGAGGAACTTTTTTTTTAAGCTTTATAGTTCATGATTCCTTAACTTCTTTAATTAATTAATACCAAGATTGATTTTCTTGATATCATTCAGTTTGGACTAACAAAAGATTTTCAAAATAAGACATGGGGCATTCTTTTCCAACTAACAGGTTGAGACAAAGTAGGAGGAAGTTTTGATGAAGAGATGCTCTCCGGGAACTAGGGAGGAAGGTGTGATGGGTTGTGGTCTTTCCTGTTTTGATAGGGAATAAAGGTCACTGTGTTCCTTGTGGCCTTACAGTAGTGTAGATATGTTGGCTGTTTAGAAATACTGTCTTGTGTCTGTGTGAATCCTGGAAGTCAGACATGGCATGGCATGACACAGGGCAGCAACTTTACACCCTTAGGTTTAGTTTAGGCTGGGCTTTAAATCCTGGTGCTATGATGTGTATAAAGCCCGAGAATTCCCAAGGCTTCAGGTATTGACAAGTTGACCCCACTTGGAGGCCCTGGGAGGTAAAAACTTCACCCAACCTAAATGTGAAGAGGCAGGGCCCTTTGGAAACATGCTTAGGATGAGAGTGGGTCGTTAGGGTGGAAACCCCTGATTAAACTCTGGTGGCTTTAGTACAGAGTGTAAAGAGATCTCGCCCTCCTCACGCCCCACACGTACACACCTGTCTCTTGTCTGTGATGTGATACCCTGGGCTGCCTTTGAGGTCTGCCGACAAAAGGGAATATAACCAGGTGCAGCTTGCGCCTCCTGAGCTATGAGTCATGACAAACCTCCCCATGAAGTGGCCTCCATCAGGGATTTCATGACAGTGACGGAACACTGGCAACACACAGTCTGTTCCAGACACATCTGCTGTCATACTGTTTGGTCAGCTGACTGCATGCCTCACTCTGATCCTGGCCATCTTAGTGCAAGTTGTTGTCCTGGAGAAAGCTGGGTCTTTTCTACCTGACCTTGCTGGGAGCTTCCCTCTGCCTCATGCGAGGGTTATCGGGAAGGGCTGAAGGAGGATGATGGGCACACAGGGATCTGTTATGCTAGTCTCCACTTTTGCAAGTTAGAGAGTCCTTCTGAAAGAGCAGGCTGTGCCTATCTCCCGCATACTCTCTTGACTCCATTTCAGGACACTTCAACCTCCACCTAGAGCCGTGTCTTTTCAATGCTAAGGTAGAGAAAGCTCACAGGACTGAGACGCTAAAGGCACGGAATCAGGTGCAACTTTACCATCCTGACCTGTGTGATGACAGCACAATCAAACTCAGACTTCCTTGAGTAAATGAAGGTGATGAGGGTTAAAGTCTTCAGTACTATGGACAAAGTTTGCAGAACATGAAAGAGGCTGGCACAATACTCACAAAAATGTATAGGAGAATAGATGTTAGGAACTGGTAATATCTGAATGGGCTTCCCCATGGGCTAGGAAAGTTTGAATTTTGCCCTTAAGTTTCCTTCTGCATCTCTGGCTAAGACAATGTATCCTCTTCCTACCTCCCCCAGGTACATATCAGAATCTCAGTTCTGCATGATTACTATTGTTACATAAATAGTAACGTCTCTTCCCTCTGGGTAGTTCACTTAATCTGGTCCCTGACAACCATGTGATATACAGAAAAAGGATTTGTTGAAGAAATATGAGTCAAAGGAAAAACCAAATTAGAATAGTAGGATATTGTTTTAATTTAAAATTTATTTCCCAACTCCAATGATAATATAAGCCTACATTGCTATTTGGGAGCTAGGGAAAGAAAAACTAAAAAAATAAACCTTTATTTGATTGAATAGAGATGTTTATGATTTTGTTGCCCAAAGAAAGAAGGTTCTGCCCCAGCACCACATGAAGATCATCTTTGGGTGTTTGGTTGGGTTTGGGAAATGGAAGACTTCAGGGAGCCTGTCTGTGTGCCCTACTCTTTCCTCTAAGGATGCGAATCAATCAGCACCCTACAGATAACCCTTTTCTTGGCAGCACCTGAAAGGGACAAGCACCAATTACCTTTAGGATTTCTGCCTGCGGCTCCCAATTAGCTTCCTGCAGTTCAGAATTCATCCCCTTCCAATTAACAGCTGACAGGGTTGGAAGCCCTGGAGCTGAAAGGAATTGGTTGTGTTTTAGGTTTTTCTTTTGCTTTTTTGCTGTTTTAACAGAATTCATTTAGCTGGAGGAAAGTAGAGTTAGAAACCTGGAAGTCACAGGACAGCTACAGCCCCTGCTGCTCCCTTTGACTGTGCCTGCCCGGTTGAGTCCTAGAACTCATAAACACAGAAGTTGGCAGAACAGACTCTGCTGTGTACCTGGAGGAGCCACACTGCAGGTGAATCTTGGTCACCTCGGCTAGATAATTGTTAGTTTCGGCAGCAAAGACTGAGAAGGAAGTTGTTTCCATTCCTCTCCCTTTGTGTCCCCGCTGATCTGCTAACAGTGGTTCTTTATGCACACTGTTCCTTGCACTGTTCTCTAAATATCACTTTAACCTTTGGACTCCCTGGGTAAAGTGCACTTCTAAAGAAAGACAGGCCTTTATTAGGCTCTGTGTCTGGGGGACAAAATTTCACACATCAGAATGCATCTCAGTCAGTACCTGTGAAACAGAACAAATGGACTGAGCTCCAAGCACGGCACAACGACTGAGACACGCCTTCCTCTGAATCCTTCCATCAGCAGGTGGGTGTGGCATTGGGCACTGGCAGATTGACCCTTTTCTTACCATTTTACTGAGTTGGGAAATTTAGGCCCTGATATTCAGGGAGGCTGCAGGAGCTTTTAGACGTTGAGTAGTCAAAAGCTACATTTATACTGCTGTAGCCATTATAGGAACGTTACTGGATGATCCAGCTAGAGAGTTTTATTTAGATCTACTTCTCACATGCCAGGCTGTGCTTGTTTGTCTCAACCTTATTCCTTTGGGTCTGTTGGTGAACTGGAACATTCCTTAAACTGTGTCCTTGCTCTATTTTAACATCTTTGAACAGAGAACGGCTAGTGCCTATGAAACACCTCATGTGGACTTACTTCACAAATAAATGCTCGAATGCAAGGAGGCTTGACCTGAACCAGTCAGGAATGTCCCTCCCAAGCAGATCCTGAGAGCCTAGAGTCAGGCAGATGAGTGGTGTAAAATGCATGATGTCATTGGCTCGATGGAGTGGCATATTCAGGACTGAGAATATGGGTCTAAAGCCCGTAGTGGTAGAATCAGAAGGAAGAATTACAACTTGTCATGTTATAAAGCTTCAAAAGTCATGGAGCTTTTGAGTTGTAATCTAGGGATAACTTCATTAAATAATTCTCATTTTTAAATGCCAAAGATACACAAGCAATCTTTGCTCTTTAACTTTTTTTTTTTTAAAGATTTATTTTTATTATTTTTTCATTGGAAAGGCGGATATACAGAGAGGAGAGACAGAGAGGAAGATCCTCCGTCCGATGATTCACTCCCCAAGTGAGCGCAACGGGCCGATACCATGCCAATCCGAAGCCAGGAGCCTCTTCCGGGTCTCCCACGCGGGTGCAGGTTACCAAAGCTTTTGGGCCGTCCTCGACTGCTTTCCCAGGCCACGGGCAGGGAGCTGGATGGGAAGCGGGGCTGCCGGGATTAGAACCGGCGCCCATATGGGATCCCGGGCGTGCAAGGCGAGGACCTTTAACCACTTGCGCCACCGCGCCGGGCCCTGCTCTTTAACTTTTAAGGTCAACTTTATAGTATATGATATTGGAAGTCAATTTTACAAAATGACCTTAAATGACTAGAAGATTTTTGTATTTTGCAAATAGAGAAGGTAGCAGTGTGAAAAGTTGCATCAAATGGTATAAATTCTGTTTTCTTTCAGTATTTGTTCTGCTAATGCAGGAAATGTATTCACATTCCTAATTTCTCTTGGCTTTAACATTCTAAGATAACTTCTGGAAGATTCTTCACTTGGACAAATTTTCAAATCATTAGTAAATCAAGATTTTTAACTGATCACAGTGCTTTAAATGAACATTGCAATTGATTGAAAACAACTCATAATTTATTCTTAAAGTGAGGACAATATAGAACTGTATTTCCATGCATATTTAAGCAGGATGAATTGTTGATGTTAGAAATATAATTTTGTCTTTTGTATTGTAAGAGATAGGCGAGAGATAAATGTCTTGGAACTTTTGTTTTACCTTCTTTATATCTTCTTTTACTTTTTCTTGCCCCGCTCCTTCTTTACTACAGCAAGCTTAAATTGTGTTAGGTTTTGACCTCTGTATACCTACATGAAGCCATCAGCGTAATCAACCTAAGATGCCTACCCCTTGCCCTCCAGAGTTCCTCTGTTCCTGGAGTAGTGCCTCTCGCCCTACTTGAGCGGCCCATCAGGCATCTCCCTGAGCTCTCCACAGAGTTCTGTGGTGGGTGTCTCACTTCCTGGGCTTTTTCACTCAGCAGCATTGTCTTGAGGTACATATACCGGGTATGCCGATTCACTTACCCCTCTGTTTTCTCCAGCTTGGGGCTCTTCCAAACAAACCTGTTAGGAAAACTCCCGTCCAAGCCTTTGGACATGTGCTTTCTTTTCTCTTGAGTAAATATCCAGGATAGGGATGATTGAATGATGAAGTAAGTGTAACTGTAACTTTTTTAAAAAAACTCCTATTTTCCAAAGTGATTGTATCGTTTTTCATTCTTACCCGCAGAGAATGAAAAATTCCAGCTCTTGTGTGTTTTCCCCAACCCTGGAAAGGTCAGCCTTTTTAATGTTAGTCATTTCATAGCAAGAATTGTATCTAACAAATCTTTAATCTGTATTCCGTTATTAACTAAAGTAACACATATCTTTTGTCCATTTTTAAGTTGCATTGTTTGTTTCTTGTTTGGCACTTTGGATATAAATATCTCTCACATGTTTTTCAAATATTTTTTCCAGTCTGTGGTTAGTCTTTTCATCTTCTTAATAATCTTAATGATAATCTCTGTCTTTAGAAGAACCGAAGCTTTTTATCAAGTTGTACTTTCATGG